TCGGATGACCTCGAGCAGTTCTTCTTTGGCCTGGTGCAGGTCAAAAGTGTATTCCTTGTGCTCTGCCGAGCAGCGCATGCGCCATATAACCATGAGGAGGGCAAGCCTCATATGTTTGAATAGATTCACCTGGAAGGGCGACCAGAGTCGAGGAAAGCTTTTCCTTTTTCCCAACAGAATGAGAGGCACGTTCCATTGGAAGGGCGATGTCGTGAGTTCGTGCCACATCACATCCCACCACTGCCACACTGGTACCGCCATCGGGCAGGCCAACAGACAATGTTCCAGGTCTGCACATCTGGCTGGCGCACCTTCCCCACATTGGGAGCAGATAGGGGACAAGACTTCCGCTTGTTCCAGTTTTGTGCGTGCTGTTATCCAATCAGGTGTCGGTAGACAGCGGTGCGTTATCTGCCATTGCAGGGCCCTGTGCGATGTCGGCATTATATGTGCATGGGCCGACCATGGGATGTGTTGCAACTCTGCGTCACGCAGTGATGAATCCCGTTTCCATCTATTTTGCACCACCGTTGTAGAGGAGTGGAGCTTATGGGCCTTTTTGTATCCTCCTTTAACCGTATATTGCCAGATGTGTGTGGGTTCTCTTCCTTTCCATACCCATTCGTCAGGGTCGAATGGGAGTGCGCAGATCTGGGAGGTTATTTCGTAGGCATAAAAGCCTGAATCCTCGTCCCCGACTACCTTGATCCTAGATAGCTCTTCCATTGGAAGCACGCAATCTAGGCTTTGGTCCCTTTTCAGGGCAGCCCAGCGCGCTCCCGGAACATCTGGAGCATAGGCATGCAACTGCATTCCTTGGTCAGTGGCGCGGCATACCCTGAAGATGGTCATGGGGATCGGGTTGGTCGTGTTCCTTATGACCCAGTCTTGGTTGCGCACTGTCGGTCCGTTCTGCAGGGTTGCCACCCATGAGGGTGGGACCGTGCGGTGGATGAAGCTAAGTTTTTCCTGGCTATCCTTGACGTGTCTCAGGTTTCGCCGCAGCTGCTCTGCGGACTTCTAGGTGCCTCTCTGGCTATCCCAGAGGTCCCCCACCACAAAGAGGCCATTTTTCACCCATGTCAGCCAATGTGAGCCGGTTTCCAACGAGAGCGGACGCCCTGTTTCGTCACAGAGCTGTGGATTGCCAAACAAAGGCTGCCGCCATATCTCTTGCCATCTCAGCGGGGGGGGCTTCTTGGATGGCTCCATCTGCCTCCACAGATTTAACATTGTTATCCACATGGGGTCCTGTTTCAGGTCCCATCTCACGGCGTTTCTAGTCGTACCATCCCTTCTATGGCGCGGGGGGCCTGGCACAGACCAGGCTGTGTTTGTAAACCATGTGAGGGGGTGGACCGGGTTATCGTCGTGCGAGGGGGGGGCCAGGTTAGCCAATTGTATGTACGCCAAAGGTAGCTACGGTATGTCGTTCGCTAATAGCAAGCGGACGATGACTTTGAATATGAGAGCCTTGGTTTCGTCCCCAGGGTCCAAGATGCCAAGCCCACCCACCTTCTTTGGTTGGGATACGTACTTCCAAGCCACCCTTTTTAGGCATCCCGTCCGCTTGTGATCGTTTCTCCGTAAATAGGCTGACAGAGCAGCTATGAGGTGCGGTAATTGTTTTTTGGGTATTTCCCAGAAGGCTGTTTTGTACCAGATTGTAGCAAGGATGGCGTTATTAATTGCCAGCGCCCTTCCTACCAGCGATGTGTGAAGGCCATCCCATTTTGCTAGCCCTTGGAGAGCTAACTGCAGCATCGTCTGTCCATGATCATGGGGGGGGGCCCAATGCTGTCAGTCGGATACCCAGAATGCGGATGGCTTCCTCTCTCGAGCGCCAGTTGATCGGTGGCTGTTGTGGGGGATGGCTGTCTTGTGGGGACAACCACCAGCCCTCCGTCTTTGTTCCCCAGTTCACTTTCATGTCGGCTGCGACCGCAAAGGCTTGGATGGTCTCGGTTAAGGCTTGAAGAGAGGCAGTCGTAGCTCGGATAAGGACCGTAAGGTCATCGACAAACAGGGAGGTGACCGGCACCATATGAGGGGGCAGCTCCGGGATGTCTATGCGCTCTATGCGTGGGTTAGCTCTTATCATTGCCGCTAATGCCTCCATCACCAAGACGAAGAGGAGGGGGGCTATGGGGTCGCCTTGCCTCACTGACCGCTGCAGAGCGAAAGGAGGAGACAGGTGGCCATTAACCATAACGTTTGTGACCGCGGTCCTATGCATAATTAATACCCAAGATCTGAATCCGCCTCCAAACTTCATTTTTTCCTGGCAGCGATCCATGAAGTCCCAGTCCACGTGGTCGTAAGCCTTCTCGAAATCTATAAAGAGGACCGCAGCGTCCTTGCCGTGCTGCCTGGCATATTTGATGGTCTCGTTGACCAGCAGGACGTTGTCCTGGATGTTCCTTTGTGGCATGAACCCGGTTTGGTCTTAAAAGATGAGGTGATTCATGAACGGGAGCAATCGATTAGTGAGGGCTTTGGACACCATTTTATATGGAAAGGGGGAGGAGTGTGATCGGGCGGTAATTTCTAACGCCATCCTTGTCCCCCTTTTTGTTGAGGAGTGTGGTGACACCTTGGCTTATCAGCCCGCCAAACGTGCCTTCTTTCTGTACTGCAAGCACATAGGATTCGATGCTATCTTGAAATATATCCCAGTATTGCAGCCAAAATTCCTTCGGGAAGGAGTCAAGTCCCGACGTTTTTTCATCGTCCATGCCCCTCAGGGCTTCCAAGATCTCATCTATAGTTAGAGGCTTTTCGAGCTGCTGACGTTGAGTTGATGAGAGCATTGCTGGCAGATGCTGGAGCATCGATTGACGGGCGTCAGCTAAATGTTGCTCCCCCCATTGTCGGGACTCCGATGTATATATTTTTTGATAGAATTTGGCGGCGTAGTCTACTATTGCGTATGGATTGTTGACATCGGGTGCTGAGTGGTCGAAGGGGGGGCGCAACGAGGAGACAGTCGACTGACGGGCCCGGGCTTGAGCCTTTCTGAAAAAGGATTTTGCCATTGTGCCCCCGGTGTCATGCCGGTGTATTCGTGCCTGGATTCGCCATGCTTCTGCCTGTGCGTCCAGGTAAGACTGTAGATGGTCTCTTGCTGTTTGTAGTCGGTGATAGGCGGTGTTGTCGAGCGGGTCAGTTTGTAGTTTGGTGTCCCACTCTTCCAACTCATTGAGCAGGTTATCCAGTACCACTTTGCGTTGTCGAGCATAGGCAATCGAGAACTTTTTTACTCTGTCCCTTAACTGCGCCACCCCTTTGTTAAACCAGTCCACTGTCGAGGCGGCTGGCTCTTTGTTTGATGCCCAATACTCCCAATATTCCTTGACGAGGATTTTAAGGCCCGGAAAATTCAGGAGCGAGGCAATAAATTTATAGAAGCTCGGACCTCTCTGTACTGGGGGGTGGAAGGATAGACCCATGACAATCCCTCGGTGATCGAAGGACTTGCAAGCGCTGAATGGCATGATGTCTGCCACCGACATTACCCCTATGAGTTCTGCTGAAATGAGAAAGAGATCAATCCTGGAGTTAGACGTGCCTGCTGCCCCTTTTGATCTGACGCAGGTATATGCACGTTTGGTGGGGTGCAAGGTTCTGTAGGCATCTTTAAGTTGCAGTGTCGCCATGAACCTTGTCAGCATTTCCACATCCGGGGCCCAGCAGTCGTAGGACCTTTCTTGACTTTGGGAGTTAGTGGAGGACCTTCTGTCGAGCCATGGATCGGGAGTTATGTTGTAGTCCTCTGCCACGATGAGCGGCACGTCGTCCGGGAGCTGTTGGTGAAGGGTGTGGAGGAAACTCACCCTGTCCAACGGATCATTGGGGTCGTACACACTGGCGATGACAATCTCCTCATCCCCCATTGCTGCCTTGAGATACACCCAGCGCCCCTCTAGCCTATCGCATTCGTGGGCCACGGGGTTCAGTCTAGACGAGGGAGGAAGCCATATTGCCACCCCTGTGGATGCCCCCGATATGGCCGGAGCTGAGAATGATGCGTACGGCCACACCCATTTATGTTTTGTTGTATGTGACGGCGAGTTTGTTAGGTGTGTCTCTTGTACGCAGATTGCGTCCGGCCATGTTGCCATCCCGTCATGCTTGAGCATTCTCCATATTGCATCCTTCTTGTCCTGCGAGGCTTGCACTAGGCCGTTCAAGTTGATGGCTCTGATGTTCAGGTCGGCTTGAGTGATCTTCCGTTCCCAGTCTTGAGGGCGCCTCCTGAGCGGCGGAACGTGCGGTTGAGGGGGGGGCTCCCGTGGGGACGGGGGAGGGGGTGGATGGTTCATAACACAGTCCATGGCAGTGTCCATTTTTGCATTGTTTTCCATAACCCCGTTAACCAGAGATCATTTTTTGCAGGGATCCGACCACGGGTTCATCTTCCCCGTCTGAGTCCGTGCTSTCATCCGACTGGCTGCCCTGTTGGTCRTTTTCRGGGTCATCGCTCGTAAGTAGTCCAATCACCTGGGCCGCAACGAGTGTTAATATCCCTCCCATTGGCGGGGCTGTAGTGGTCGGGGAAAGCAAATCTGGGGGAATCCTATGTGCGATGGAGGGCAGGAGATGTGCTAGTTGTTTGTCCTCACTGGTAGTGAGGAGGGCAGCCCCGATTTCCTCCACGAGCACCTCCGGCCAGAACTGCTCGTCCTCCGTTCGCAGCCCGTTTTTGGCGTCACCTGTGCCTGTTGTAGTGATTTGGGTAGATGTTGTGTAGCCCGCTGCTTTCCGAGTCAGTTCATCTAACAATGCTGTGACCGTTGCTATGATCACTTTGGCCATGCGCCTCCAATCAATCTCTTCTGTCGAGGTGTACTAGTTGACTGTTTGAGTAATATTCCGTTTTGCTAGGATCCTCCTCCGGATTTTCTCCCAGTGCAGCGGGGGAATAAGTTCGTGCAGTGTCCGACCTGAGGGTGCTAGTGCGTTTTGTAGTATCCAGTCGGTGAGAGGCTTAAGTCGGGCCCGTACGCTCCTCACACGTATGAGTGGGACTCTCTCCTCCAAAGGGGCTTGTGGCCGTACGTGTGGCACAGGCTGCGTGTGCAGGCCGTGTGCATCATCTGTTTGGACCGGAGTCATAAGGAGGTCCAGCGCTGGGTGCACACCTTCCATGTTCACACCCTGTTGGCTGTCCGCTCGAAGCCCTTCCCTCGCTTGTTCCCCTTGCACGGACTGATTTTGCGTGTCTTGCCCCATCTCAAAGTCGGCATTCGGGTGAATTCCTTCCGGCGGGTGCAAGCATGCCGTGTTGGATGTTTCCTTTGTCTGCACAGTTTGCGGGGGGGGTTCCCCATCAGGGGGCGATTGGCAGAGGGCATACACCTGTTGGGGTGTGTTTGGAAGGGGGAGCCCGATGAGATTGGTTGACAGTTGTGTCTGCCAGAAGTGTATTTCGAGAGCGGCCTGTTGTTGGTCAAAGGAGTTTATCAAACCAAAAGCTTGACTTTGTCTATGGAGGTCGTGTTGGGCTTCCGCTAGCTGTCGCACCAGGCAGGTTTGCCTATATTTTTCTTGCTGCTCCTGTATTTCGTGTGCCTGTTGCGCAGCCAGGTGATGGAACAGGGCCTGTTGCTCTGCAGTCAGGCCTGCATGCAGGGGTATTTGTGCCAGGCCTTCGGCTTCTGACTCACTATCTGAGCATCCCATTATAGAATCCTGTCCGGATTTGGATTCCAAGTCCGAGTCCGTCTCTGAGATGTCCTCCATAGGGATATCCATTGGCGGGCGACTTTGTCGAGCCGCCCTTCCCTTTGCTATCGCCTCCTGCAGTTCCTCCTCTGCCAGTTCCTGTTCTTTCAGTAACATCTTGTACGCCTGTGTGCCATATGACATTTTCGCATGGTCCCCCACGACCCTGTTTCCTTGTGTACCGCTCCCCGGGCGTTGTTGTTCATTTTGTTGGGGGGGCGTAGACAGCTCCTCATCCATGCTCGAGGGGAGCTTTTTTGCTGTTTCCTTGTCGGGTATGGCGGAGGCTGATGTATGCGCTTTCTGTCTGGCGTCCGTGGCGTACTTCGTGGGAGACGTTTGCACGACCCCTGGCCKCGGTTGCGATGGCGGTTCAAGCGAGGCCTTCGTTCGCTGCGTAGTGTTGTGCTATGCGGAGTCTACTGGTGCACCCGGGAGAGGGGGCAGTCCCTGCAGGGGGCGGGCTTGATCCAGCTGCCGGTTTCTTTCTGCGGGGAGAAGGTTCTTTAGTCCCAGCGCAATGTTTTGCAGGTGGTCAAAACGCTGCAGTCTATTCATGCATTTTGGTTGGGCCTGGTTGTGGTTGATGGCAAGAAGTTTCGCATTTTGGACCGCCGGATCATGCTGACACTTTAGAGCCGGGGGCCTGTTTCGGGACTGATATGCCTCAGCCAGCAAGCTGTGTTCCCCTTCCTCCACCAGGTATGCAGGGGAGGCAGATTTTTCGGCGACGAAGGCCCCCGGGGACTCCGAGCCCTGCAACTCCTGGTGCCCCGTCTCCGGCAGTAGTCCCTTCTCTCTTGGCCCGCCCTGTTGCAGTTTCAACGCTTCCTTAGAAACTCCTTCTCTTCGAAGTCCTCCGTCGGAAGCTCCGTTGGAAACTCCTTCTCTTTTTTTGGCGTCGAAGTCCTCCTGCCTATCCTTCAGTCGGAAGCTCCACGATGGACAGGGGGTGCTGTGGGAACAAGTCTGGGAAGTCTGATGTCAGTCTCAGCGGCACACTGGGATCCACCACTGTCCAATCCTGAAAGCAAAGTTGATAATCCATGACAATGTTGATCTCCGGCTGATTCCTGCTGCCTGTCATGTCATGGTGCGTCTCTTGTCCAGGTCACCTCTACCATCCATCCCCCTCGTTCCCCCCCTAGCCAGTCCCTGCAAATTTTGGTTATAATTTTAGCTATATCTTTGAGTGCGCAAATTCCAGTTTTTGTTTTACTGTCTACCATTGATGAGTGAGTTCAGTTTGAATCTGCTGCAAAATCTGTTCTGTCATTTCCTCCCCTTTGGTCCATGCTCCCTCCATGAGTAGAGCGTATACTCAATATCCAATGTAGTTAGAGGTTTCACATATCACAGTGTAATTACGTTGCAAACACGGTAGCTGCCCCTGTTACAGACCTTTCACCTCACAACTGCTCCAGTGAAAGGCCTTCCACGATTTAGACCCCAAATTCGGATATCAGGGTCAGATGTTCAGGACAAGGAAAGGCCGAGTCTGTCAAACTCAGAAAAGTCACAATCCGGTACCTCAGCAGTCTGGTCCAACAGGCACCCAACAAAAAGTCACATCTCAGGGAGAAGAGTCACGTCTCATAATAAAAGCCATACAGAGGAGTCACGCACGTTTCCTAGTGAAAAATCATATTGAAGAGTCACATCCCACGAGTAAAGGCAGTATCACAGGCAAAAGTTGTGACCCACAGGCAGGAGTCACTATCCACAGTCAAAAGTCATGTTCCCAAATGAAAAGTCATGGCCCAAAGGTCCAAGCAGCGGCAGACCCATGGAAATTCGGGAAGGTTCTAGGCCTTGACATTCAGAAGCAGACAGGTCGAGGGATGTGGTACCGGGACCAGTCAGGCCCCAGGAAGCAGAGGCTGGCACGAGTTGAAGTGCATTCCAAGACTACAAAAGGACTGGCCAGCCTGCCATTCGGGGAGATGCTCATTTGTACGAGAGTGTGGAAGTGCTTGTGCACTTGTGCGCTAGTGTGGGCGTTGCGCTAAGCCAGAGAGCAGCGATGAGTGAGATGAGAGAGAGGAAGTAGATGCTGGCAGAGAAGAAGGCAGCCATAGCTGCGCCAGCACCAGGAAGCAATGCAGTTAGTGGTTAGTAGTAGAGCAGTGAGTAGTATTCAGAGTTGATCCTTATGTGAGTGTTACTAGTAGGGAGTGCGCATGTGAGAGAAGAAGAAGACTGTGTAGAGAGAAGACCAGTATCATCAAGTGAGAGATAGATAAGAGAGAGAGAGAGAGTGAGACATGGTGGCTACTTACTTGAAGAGCGATGAACTTGGTGTGGATGACGAGTGCTGATGAGCGCAGATGTTGAGACTCTTGATGATTGAAGAAGACTTGTAATCTTGTTGAGTGCTGGGCAGTTGAACTCATGATTCTCTCTCTATAATCTGGTTGTGATAATTGAGCTGCACTATCTGGTCTATTACTCATCTTCTCTTTGTGCAATGTGTGTGACAATGCAATCCGTGAATCTGTGAGACTTGCATGTTGGCTTGAGCACTCCATCATGTGGTGAGCTTTGAGGCTCATTACAATTTGGTATCGGAGCGTACACTCGTTACACTCACTGAAGTTCGCTGGCAATCGTAAGGCCGGCGAGAAGAGCGATTGAAGGGAGTAAGAAGGAGTTGGGTTGTGGGATCTGGAGGGAGGTGCCGCAGTAGAAGGGGCAAGAAAGGGAGGATATACTACATACCTGCTTGGAGCGCTGGAGCGTGGAGCGATTGTGGAGCTTCACCAACGGACGTCGTAATAAGAGAAGAACCTCTGCCCCTAAGACCTGCGTGCATGATGAATGTGAATCCCCGTTACCTTCCCATAAGTTCTGGTGGTCGCTGCTGTCTTGTCGAAGTCAGGGACAACATTTGTAAGTATGCGAACAGAAGTCTGAAGGTGTGGTTAGCTGGGCTGCTAGTGGTGGATGCTCTCATCACCACCGCTAGCAGTTCAGCCAAAAAAAAAAAAAGTAATAATAATAATAATAATAATAATAATAAAAAAATGGTCTGAAGGTGTGGTTGGTCGCGATGGGCTCAAAGCTACAAAGCCGAGTTAGGCTGTAGAAAAATCTGCCAATTATTAACCTTAGTAAATACTGGTCCAGTCTGCATATAAGGTTTAATGAATTCTAAAAAAAAAAGAAACGCCCATCTAGTCAGCAATAAAGAAAAGGTCCAGACAGACAGTGTTAAGAAAAAAAAAGCAGGTCCCAACCACTATACTAGATAGCGATTTGGAGTAACTACTTGGTGAGTGAGTGGAGGCTACCTGTGCTCTTCTTCTCACCATGCATGATTATCCCATGTATAGGATGGTGGCACTCTCCATTTTACTGGGGCCACTATTCCAGTTCCTCTTCCCTCTTGGCTTTGGGAGGATGTGTACCTCCCAAAGCCCGGACCCTCTATTTTAGAGCAGGCTGAGGTAGATCGTCATCTGGCCGAAAAGAAAAAAGGAAAGGAAGAGAAAAAGAAAAAGAAAGAGGAAGAGTTTAAAAAGAAAATGCAGGCAGAAAGAGAGAAAGTGGAAAAAGAAATGAAAGAAAATTTAAAGAAAAACAGTTGCAGGAAGAGTTGAAGGTTGAAGAAGAAGAAGAAGAAGAAGAAGAAGAAGAAGAAGAAGAAGAAGAAGAACCCCCTCCCTCTCCGATTGCTGTTCCTACTTCCCAATCAGGGTGATGAAGACCTTTCCCACGTGGCATTTGATTCACAACATTTTTCGCAAAACCATTTTGGGAAAAAAAAAAAAAAAAAAAAAATCGAGCGGAGAGGGAGATCAACCACCTCACTCCCTGATCGATGTTCCTACTTCCCAATCAGGGTGATGAAGACCTTTCCCACGTGGCATTTGATTCACAACATTTCTCTCAAAGCCATTTTGGGCGGAAAAAAAAATAAAAAAATAAAAAATTGAGGGGAGAGGGAGATCAACGCCCTCCCTATCCGATCGCAGTTCCTACTTCCCAATCAGGGTGATTAAGACCTTTCCCACGTGGCCTTCCATTCACAGCATTTCTCGCAAAGCCATTTTGGTTGGTAACACGAAAAAAGAAAAAAGAAAAACAGAAGAAAAATTGAGGGGAGAGGGATATCAACCCCCTCCCTGTCTGATTGCTGTTCCTACTTCTTCATCAGGGTGATTAAGACCTTTCCCACGTGGCATTCGATTCACGACATTTCTCGCAAAGCCATTCTGGTTAAGAAAACGAAAAAAAAAAACAACAGAAAATTGAGGGGAGAGGGAAATCAATCTCCTCCCTGTCCGATCGCTGATCATACTTCCCAATGAGGGTGATGATGAAGACCTTTCTCACGTGGCACATGATTGACAACATTTCTCACAGAGCCATTTTGGTAAAAAAACGAAAATAAAAAAATAAAAAAATGGAGGGGAGAGGGAGGTCAACCCCCTCCCTATCCGATCGCAGTTCCTACTTCCCAATCAGGGTGATTAAGACCTTTTCCGCGTGGCATTCCATTTACAGCATTTCTCGCAAAGCCATTTTGATTGCTAAAACGGAAAAAAAAAGAAAAAAGGAAAATCGAGGGGAGAGGGAGATCAACCCCCTCCCTGTCTGATCGTTGTTCCTACTTCCCAATCAGGGTGATTAAGACCTTTCCCACGTGGCATTCGATTCGTAGTATTTCTTGCAAAGCCATTCTGGTTAAAAACACGAAAAAAAAAGCCAGAAAATCGAGGGAAGAGGGAGATCAATTCCCTCCCTATCCGATCGCAGTTCCTACTTCCCAATCAGGGTGATAAACACCTTTCCCACGTGGCATTCGATTGACAATATTTCTCGCAAAGCCATTTTGGTTGAAATAACGAAGAAAAAAAAAAGAAGGAAAATTGAGGAGAGAGAGAGAATCATGTAGAGAGGGAAAGCTCAGCATACCTTTGGTCGCTATGCCCGAAGGACATGTTGTAGATCAGTAGGGAGCGGAATGCAGATCTCTCTCTCTGTCTCT